AGATTTGACTGAGAATAATAAACAGCAAAGCCGGGTTTTCCTAGACACGGAAGAGGAGCGTAGAGAGCGGAGGGAGGAGCGGAAAAGCCATTAACATGACATTCCGCTCCGCATCTAGGAAAACAGTAATATTAGATTACCTAAGACAAGAGGAGTCCGCTCTCCGCGTTCCTTAGTACGGTGCAATTAGACCTAAACCAGGACATCCAAAAAAAGTTCCAAACCAGCGCAAAGTTGTTGAATACACTTCCCTCAATATGTAAAAAAAAGTTACACTAATTTGAGTGTCGGGTTTGGAAGGGAGGGGGTGAAAATACAACTTTTATACTTTTTCGCAAATACCTCGAAAACGGAGCGTTTTTATTGATGTATAATGAATTACAAAAATAATTAACATTAAATTCCGAACAAAATGATACCATACAATACATCTATATAAATAAAATTAGAGTTTTGTCTGTACATTGCTTAGAATCATAAATTTTTAGGTTATTTTTACGTTTTAAACATTAAAGAAGCCGAAACAAGTCTCATCTCAATTTCTGCCTGTCTGTCTGTCTATCTGGTACGACCAAAGAGCCATTTTACGCGGCCTTCTCTTGAACAAATAGAGTACCGATCAAGGTCCAAATCGTTTTAATGTATTTACTGGATTGGCGAGATTGTCTTTAGCTATTAAACTATGGACTAACTACTTTGTAAATAAAATTACAGAAGTTTAAAAACCCTATTTTGTGCGATTTTTGTCAAGTTTTCTCCCAATGTTTATCACATAATCATCTATGAAATAACGAACAGCTGTTCGGATCAAGATTATTTTTTCTAGCTGTCACTGATATGTTTACATTTAATGTTGTTTACAAAGGCCTTGGTTTACAAATACCGCAACCATTTCCGATCACGTTTTGAAAGCAATTCCAAACCATGTGAGATTAAAAAAGTGTTTCCTTACGTAACGGATTTAATTAATCGCAAGTGCAATAATTAGTAGGGTAACCGTAAATGAAAATAGAGATTCTTTGTGTATAAAATTGTTCTTGAGTTTTGATAACCGGGAAAAGGACCTTGAATCAGTGTTGTATATGGCTGGGAAACTTACATTTGTTAATTAGCGTTACCAATAGCAGCATACAAAAATGGTTTCAACTCATTGACGGCACTTCAATGGCGGCTGTGTAAATTGTAAATGTAAAGTGACAACTGCAGTGGATGATTGTAACAGAGGTTTACGGATTATGCTCAACTCACTTTTCCAATGTGTCTTCTCACCGCTATGTGCTGCAATCGCTGGACCATACAGCCAATAGACCAATTCCCCATCTCTTGGGTTCGCAGGACTAAACAATTATTCATAACTAAATTTCGACGACGATCCTTGATACCAGTACTTTTACCTATAATAAGAAGGTTTCAACTGACTTCTATATAAAGATCCCCGTGCGTAGAAAGGGCACACAGCTAGTATCTACTATGAACGGTTCCGGAGTGATTTGGAGTAAATGTGCTTTTTTTCTTAAAATTCTAAAAAAGTTGTTTTTTTAATTAAATAGAGGAAACCCATGGACAGCCATAAAAAAGAGAGAGGTAGTACGCAATTAGCTTAAAAAGAGAGCAAACCGGGACATAAAAAAAAGTTCCAAACCAGCGCCAAATTGTTGAATACATTTCCCTCAATATGTGAACAAAAGTTACACTGATTTGAGTGTCGGGTTTGGGGGGGGGGAGGGGGTGAAAATAGGACTTGTTTTACATTTTCGCAAATCCCTCGAAAACGGTGCGTTTTTATTGATATATACTGTAATGAATTACAAAAATAATCTACATTAAATTCTGAACAAAATGATGCCATACAATACCTATCTACTATGAACGGTTCAGGAGATATTGGGGGTACATTTGATTTTTTTCTAAAAATCCTAAAAAAGTTGTTTTTTTATTGAGGAAACCCAATGGACACCCATAAAAAAGTTTCTAATGCATGCCAAATTGTTCAATAGACCTCGTTTAATATGTGTAAAAAAGTTTACACTTAATTGAGTGCCGGATTTGGGAAGGAGAGTTTAAAGAAAAGGGAGGGGAATGGGACTTATTTTACTATTTCACAAATATCTCGAAAACGGTGCGTTTTTATTGATATATAATGAATTACAAAAATAATTTACATAAAATTTCACAAGATTATGCCATACAATACCTATCCCCTATGAACGGTTCAGGAGATATTGAGGGGTAAATGTGATTTTTCTGATGATTTAAAAAAGTGGCTTTTTAAATGAAGGAAACCCACGGACACCCATAAAAAAAGTGTTTAATATGGGTGCCAAATCGTCGAGTAAACCTCCCTTAACATGTGTAAAAAAGTAACACTGATTTGCGTGCCGGTTTTGGGTAGGAGGGAGTTAAAACGGGGTGGGGAATTTTATTCATAAGTAATTTTGTAAATTTTGTTAAGTAACACTTTTTTATTTTCATTTTTAAAAGAAATATAACGACAATTTAACTAAATATGACTTACCTACCTGAAAAAAAACAAACCTACCTTGATACGTGAACACAGTGGACTTTCTACCGTTTGAATTATTAAGTGAGTTTTATCGTTGATTAGTTATTAAGTAAATATCCGTGTTACAATAGTTATTTGTATAACTAGTGGGTGAAGTGGCACTTTGCTGCACACCAGAGAAATGTTTACGCACGATAGCCGCAGGCGAGTGTTGTAGGTGTCTCGAGTGCAGCAAGGGCACTTTGCACTCGTGTTACACATAATATTTTTTCTACAGTTACTATGAATCATATTAATAATTATTAATAATATAATTATTAATTGCGTATTAGTCTTTCAAACACTATACAACACATTTTTAGTTTAGGTTAAATCCAATCGGTGAACTAAATGGGAAACACTGCAAAAGCTGGTAAGTGTTGCCAACCTATTTCCAAGCGTACACGGATTAGGTTGCATAATGAAAGCACGCTGTTTTGTGTTGTTTGGTTGGAATACTGGTGTGCGACAAAGTAAAAACCGTACAACGTAAAAACAGTGCGACAAAAGTAAAAATATGCAAAAATTAGCAGCTTTCTGTACTATAATCTGTGCAGAAAGCCCACTTTGTCGGGTGAATGTAGGAACTAGGAAAATATAATTTTATCTAATGTGATATTGTTGATTCATTTAAACTTACTTATAAAACGTACTCCTTTATTAAATATAAAATCTAATATATACAGGGTGGCCCTTAAGTAAACAGCCAAACTCCGGGAAATGGTTCTTTGAGTCAACATAAAGGGAAAATTCAATATAACATTTTTTCCAAAATCGCTTCGTTAACCAGATATCCGCATTTTGTTTGTTCACATAAACATTCTCGTATCTTTGATTTTTTTTCAACCGATCATTATCAAACTTGGTATGTATGTTTAGGTAAAATAGACCCACGTTGGAAGAAAAATGTATCTTAATCCAATACAATATTTTAAGCAGGCATTTTAATAGTTTTAATTGTAATTGCAAAAAAATTGCTAATTTTATTAAAAAAAGTCTAAAACACTTTTATTTAGCTTTTAAAATTCTCTATCAAACGGCACCAAGTTCAAAAAGATCGAATAAAAAATAACTGAAATATAACGATTATTAGTTGTAAAATTATTGTGATCAAGATTACACTATTCTGGTTTGCCTCATTTGACAACTAAAATCATGATATTTCAGTATTTTATTTTTATTTTAAAAGCTAAATAAAAGTGTTCTTAACATTTTTTTTCATAAAGTTAGCCATTTATTTGTACTAATAATGGCCTCCATTTTGAAATTGTTAACTGGATTAAGATAAGGGAATCAATATTTGTAACGTATTTTATGATTTTACTAGAATGTGGATGCAATTTTTTCAACTGTTCATAGTTGATATGTATTGTATTGTATTGTATCATTGTGTTTGAAATTCAATAAAGAATATTTTTGTAATTCATTATATAAGAAACACACACCCTTTACGAGCCTCCTACCAAAATCAGACTCTAAAATCAGTGTAACTTTATTACACATATTAAGGGAGGTCTATTTCACAATTTAGAACTCATAAGAAACTTTTTCTATGGATGTCCATAGGCTTTCTCCATTTTTTTATTATTAAAATAAATACACATTTACCCCTCAATATCTCCTAACCCGTTCATGGTAGATAAGTATTGTATGGTAACAACTTGTTCGAAATTTAATGTCAAATTATTTTGTAATTCATTATATATCAATAAAAACGCACCGTTTTCGAGATATTTATAAAATAGTAAAATAAGCCCCATTCCCCTCCCTTTTCTTTAAACCCTCCTTCCCAAATCCGACACTCAAATAAGTGTAACTTTTTTACATATATTAAACGAGGTCTATTGAACGATTTGGCATGCATTAGAAACTTTTTTATGGGTGTCCATGGGTTTCCTCAATAAAAAACAACTTTTTTAGAATTTTTTGAAAAAAATCACATTTACCCCCAATATCTCCTGAACCGTTCATAGTAGATAGGTATTGTACGGTATCATTTTGTTCGGGATTTAATGTAGATTATTTTTGTAATTCATTATATATCAATAAAAACGCACCAACGCACCATTTTCGAGGGATTTGCGAAAATGTCAAAGTCCTATTTTCACCCCCTCCCCCACCAAACCCGACACTCAAATCAGTGTAACTTTTTATCACATATTGAGGGAAGTGTATTCAACAATTAATTGGGCGCTGGTTTGGAACTTTTTTTGTTGTCCCGGTTTGCTATTTTTTTTAAGCTAATTGCACTGTTACCTCTCTCCTTAGGAAAACCCAGAAAAAAGGAGATTAGGCCAATAGCGAAAGGGTAGCCGACCTCTTTGATGAAAGAGAAGAAGAAAACTGTATAGCGGAGGCGGCCGGCCGGAGCTGATTTCCGCAAATCTGACAATAGAAAATAGAAATAGAAGTAGAAGAAGAACTAAGAAGAGGAAGAGGATATCTCAGCTCAGGGCTCAGACTGCTCAGCTCACTGCTCAGAGAGGTTAAGCGGTTTAAGCTCACTTTGCTAAAACTAGAATCGTTCAACCAACGACGCCTTTAATAATATACTAGTGTTTTTGTCGTGCGTTGAAAAAAGCATCCTTTCAAAATGTAAGTATTAACTTTCCCAAAACAAATATGGTAGCAGCAAAATATTGACCAATAACTTAGTTTTAAACACTACAATTTATGTGGACTAGGCCACTACTTGTGGCTACTTTACCCTAGGACTCTTCCTTAATCATAGGTCTAGCCTTAAACAAACACTAGTTATTGTTTAAAGTTTAATCGTTTGAAATTTCATTGAATATGGCCACAATCCCAATATAAGTTAATATTAATACTCCAATAGTAATCGTGGATAGGCTACGGTGGATTCCTCTTTTTGGTAAGGCTTAGGCTACCTAGGCTAGTTATTTAAAATATTTGAACTAGCCTAGTCCTAGCCTGCGCTCAGTTATAATTTAATGCTAAACCTGATTAACAACTCCATTACTTTTACCATTTTATTTTGGGTACAGTTTCTTAACTGGGCTATACCTATGCTAATATCGATTGAACCATCGATTCGATTAGTAAACCTTCATGCGATTTTTCACCATCAGCAAGTTTGGTTGTTTAGGTTAGGTTATGATGGTTTAATTTTAGCCTATAGTAGATATAGGTAGGCCTATTTAAAAATATCAATTAAGTTTATTAACATAATCAAGATAATTTTCAATTCGATAGTTTCAATCGATATTAACTTAACTTAGCGTAGCCCAGTTAAGAAACTGTAGGCCCTACCCTTTATTTTAACCTTTAGATGACACCTTAAATAGTAGGTACCAACTTAAGTTACTTAACACGTTCACTGCTAATGACGCACTTGTGCGTCATAAGTATATTAGCAGATATATAATACATGATGTATATAATTACATAATATATTTTAATCCACAATTTATAGTATAAAATTTATTTAATTAAAGATATAGGGTCACTCAATTAACATGATCATGTTAATGTTTATGTTTTTTAGCTATTTATAAAAGTATTACATATCATTAGCAGTGAATGTGTTAAGCATGCTCTAGAAGTTAAATGGTTGACCTAAGTTAGGTGTCACAACAACAAAGTTAGGCAGCTGGTTCCAACCTACATCTAGGCCTAGTAGCCTACCTACCGGCAATAAATTAGGCCGGTAACTTAACTGGTTTCCACCATATTATAGGCCTACCACCATTAAGCTAACTAACATGCCAAGTCCAGTAAGGCTATAAGTTTATAATTATTACCTTATTACCTCCTCTTCGTCTTTGACCAGCCAGGGCCGGATAGACACAGTGTCAAACATTTAAAATAAAACTCTCTTTAATAAAACATATATTTTCAACTTAAGCTTTAGATGGCGGTGGGCGGTCAAGAGTTAGTGCTTCCTCAAAATACTTACTCGTCAACTGAGTAGAACTGATTTGCAGGAGGAGCACCTAGATCCTTTCCTTGAATAGGCCTATTTTAGGCTCTAGCTCTCTCAGGTGGAGTGGCATGGCATTATACGGATTAAATATGACAGGCCTAAATTTAATTTTACATTAAATACGATATTGTTAACTTATATTGGATATATTGGCAATGAATAATGAAATGTAGGCCTATAACTAAATTTAAAAGTTCAAAATGGCCAGTATAGGCTATAATAAATTATTTTAATCCACCAGCGCTTTCAGAAACTATGTTTCCATCGTCAGGCTGTGTTTAAACTGATACCGTACAAACAACTTTTTTGTATCATTTTAAACACCTAGCCTGACGATGGAAACATAGTTTCTGAAAGCGCTTGTGGATTAAAATAATTTTTTATATATTGGCCTTTTTGAACTTTTAAATTTTGTTATACATTTCATTACGATAGTTAACTTATTTGTATTGTTGATCCGTTTAACATCCAGTTCAACTTATAACTTAGGCTATCAAATGTTCTTTAAAGGTCTGGGCTATTTGGGTCTTCATTCTTAGATAACCAATCAAGGAAATGTGAAGTTTTTCCTTGTTGTCTATGTAAGTTAGATGGTAGCCTATATTTGAGAAGAAGTTTTGTAAAGAGCACCAAACACTTTTCTAGGGCAAGTGGTTCCAACCCATACGTTTTGTAGACATGCTATGCCTGTGACTATACTTTTCTCAACAATTGTATTTGGTTGTAATATAGGTCTGGAGCGACAAAACCCAAATCAGAAATGAGCCAGGAAGAATTAGCTAAGAGAGAAGAAGAGGAATTTAACACAGGACCGATGTCAGTTTTAACACAATCTGTGAAAAACAATACACAGGTAAGCTGAAGTAAATAGACTAATAGGCTTTAGACTCAGTCTGATTGATTAGGAGTTTTAAGGAGTTTCGGCATAGCCTACTTATGTTCAGTTTAATTCACTTAAGAAATTAACACACTTGTGAGCATATTTTAGATGTAATATATGAATCATCTCACAGTAACAGGGTGATCCGTGCATGGTGGAAGTAAGACACGAGTGCTACTGCGCATCGTAGCCGGGTGAGGGCGGGAATAGTGACGTAACATTGTGGGCAAACAGCCTCGCGATAATATCAAGCAGTGACGCTGCTTTAATAAAATCGTCATTTTAAATGTTGTTAGAAGGGAGGAAAAATCTTTAAACTTTGCATAGTCATGGACTATCAACATAAGATGCTTATGATTTTTGTAAAAGTTATTAATTTTTTTCAAATAAAAACCCTTAAACCACCGAACAACCTTGAAACTTTTTCATGCTAACACGAAAAAGTTTGTCGGCTACCAAATCACGTAGGTATTATTTGGTCTGGTTTGTCAGACCTGCGGGAAAGTTTTAGGGAAAGATTCTAATTTAACTGTAGAGTATTGATTAGATTTCGATAAAAGAATTACTGTACTTTCTTAGCGCTCAGCTGAGGCCGCTGTTTATTGGATAAAGACCACACATTAATTATCCAATATAGGCCCTACGGTAGCCTACACTTAAGCTATACGTTATAAGGATATACTTTATACATTTTCAATTCAATAAGTAGGCCTAATACTAACATGTAACAGATATAATAAGTTCTACATTAAAATGCGTTGCAACATCTTAGTTTTTATACAAATGAACTCCCTTTGATAAAAGTTCTTACCATGAAATTTGTAGGATCCTAAATAAATAACATTTACTTAACCAAAAGCATATTTTACATTCATATAACAAAATTGATGACTAGAAAGTTAACATACCGGTATACCTATTCTAAAATATTTTATCAGCTCTGGATTTTTCTGAAACTGTTAAGTTTCTTCAGAAATTTTATTTTTTTGCCACTTGCAAAATTACATTGTCTTAGCTTTCTGTTTATTTGCTTGATTTTGATATAGGTTCGTATCGATAGAGATCTTCTGACATCGCCTCTTGTAAGTCCAATTAGGCTAATAAGGAAAATTTATTGGTAATGGACAATGGTAGTTACAGACCCCAGCAGTTAATGTACCGACTGTGAGACTTGGAAAAACATTTTTCAGCTTGATCTCTATACACTCCCTCTTATCCGGACTCCTCGGGACCAAGGCCAGTCCGGATAACGGGTTTTCCGGTTAAACCGACGTCCCCAAAAACTTGTTAAAACAGACCGACTCTGATATTCAACTTAAATTTAGGAGAGCATTGTATTTATTCATGTGATAACTGGTCTCAAATCTTTCCCACGAGAACAGTTGTTTCAGTACCGCCCACTTCCTGCCGATCTAGTCCGGTTAAACCAAGGTGCTGATAAAAATTGTCCGGTTAAAGAGATGTCATTTCCGCCGAGTGTAGTCCGGTTAAACAGATGTCCGGTTAAAAGGTGTCCGGATAAGAGGGAGTCTACTGTAGGTAGAAGCAAGAAGTTGTATTGATGGTGACATTAACCAACCTCTGGTAATAAAATTAATGCAGGTTGGATTTTCATCTTCAATTGAAAATTCTTGAGTTTTCCCGAAGGTATATTTATGTCTAGGCCTAAATACAAAAGCAATGTAGCCAGCAAGATAAGATATCTCAAACCTTCCCTACTACAGTAATTATGTTTTCCACTTCAGGGATGTCCTTAATTTTGATCCATTAATGGGTCTTCTACTGGTTGAACATCATCCACAAATTCCTCTTAGATTTGACATGAGATTTTGTGTCTGACATTGCTCTTGTTCGGTCAAGATATACAGTAGGTATGGTTAACTGTATGGTTTTTACTGTTTTTTCGCTTTCTATGGTTTCTTCTTGAACACATATTCTAATAGGCCTACACATTAGCCTTCTTGAAGTTGCTTCATCGTTAGGTTTCTCAGATGTTTCTAAAATTTCACTCGAATGCTTTCCTAAAAATATACCATCTCATTCTTAAACGATATTTAAAATCCAGCGCAGTTGGGTGATCTTTAGAAATGCCAATTCCCCAGATGTAAGAGAAGAAATTCTATAGTATGGCTTGATTAAGTTTTGTGGTCATAATTTATTTAATGTTATTTGTAGATGAAACAATTCCAAATAACAGTTTCAACGGTTCTTTTTAGCGAATTTCCCTATAGGGAAGTAGCTATTACCGTAGGTGGCACGGTAAGACCTAGACCCGGGACCGATTTACTTTTTCATTTTGATGTCCCCAGAGGCCAAAAACACCATTTGTTCAAATTTTTATATATGTATATATATATAGACTTATATATATATATACACGGCCTTGCCCGGGAAGCCAGTCACATAAAATATACACTGGAAGTCAGTCAGTTGCACCCCCCAATATATTTCAAGACTATGATATATATATAATATATGTTGGTAAATATCTTAAGCCTAGACATATCTGAACGTATATATCTCTTTTTTTCTTAAAAATACTAAAATATAATTACGTAAAAAATGCTATGCTAATGCAGTCACCATCGCATTTGCATGGGAAAGCCAGTCACGTAAAATTTGTGCTGCTAAGCCAGTCACTATATATTTTACCGCATACCACTGGAATCCAGTCACTGAAAATCCACCCGGGTATCCCGTCACTTCAGTCACTTTCACCCCTGCCCTTCTACTTTGTGATATTTATTTGTTCTACAAGCTTGAAAATCCGCACCTCAAACAAATGGATTATGCTTCAGGCATTGAGCACTCTCATAACCCATCTTTCGCACTTAATTTTAATTAGTTGTCTTCCAGATTACTTAACAATTACTATTCTACAGATTAAATACCTAAATGTCAATGTAATCTTTGGTCGTCTTAATAGTCGTCCTGGCAACTGTGGATACAAATATGTACCGTACTAATTCGCAAGCGTAAGGTGGGAAGTTATTGCTTTATAGTCGCACAATTAGGCCTATTGTTGAGTCCTTGGAGGCAAGCGGCCATCTTGGATGATTTCAAAAAGCTGCAAAATTTATCGTCCAAAAATATTTTTCAAACACCAAAGTGTTTATAATTTAAATAGCTAGTATACTGTGGGATTAGAAATGTTCTTTGTAGTTTTGAATTATTCTCCAAGGGAGTCCATAAAATAAGTTAACGGTCACGGTCATCTTGGAAAAAGGCCAACTAATACGAAAACAATATCCTGTGTTGCGCGGGCCGTAGCACACAAATAGTTTTCCCGCCTCAAACAATCAAAGGCGTGTGGAACAAGGCAAAATTCTTGTCTCTTTTGTGGCGAGAGGTAGGGGCGAGCCTAACGGGTTCCATTGATGGGCTACCCGGCTACCGACCGACCTGGGGTAGCGTAGCGACTAGCGAACCAGTGGATGGTTAAAGGTTCTGCCGGTTATTTCCATCTTATTGCTGGTTCTCGAGCTTTTTGAGCTCGTTGTACAGTGAAATATTACTTCCCTATTTTATATAGCCACAATCAAAGCGATTTTTACAAGAAAGAATGAAGATATAGACTCAGTGATGTGTGGTTACTTAATTAAATCATGTTCCTTGATTGTTTACCCTTTTGTAAGAGCCAATAATCAATCAACTTATATTTCTTTATTTTTCGATTTATTATCTATATCAATTCAAGAGGTAGCCCTGTACCTGGTTAACAAATATACCGATTACATTTAACGTGTTTTCTTTGAGTTACGCCCCATGGGATTCCAAAGTTTCACAATGTTTACATTTTTGAAGAATGTAGATAACAGAATGTTTAACGAAGTCAGCTTTAAATGCTGTCAATAAAGTTCTTTGATTTTGCGGTCCAAAAGGTAGAAACGATTCGATTTGTGAAACTTTTAACTTTTGCTACGGGCCTGTTAATTGGAGATTCTGACATTCTTAATTTAAGGAAGTAAACGTATTAACATGACGTGTTTGGAGTGGGATTTGAAATATGTGACGTGTATCAAACTTTTTCTCTTCAAAATTCTCTCCGATGTAAAACACAGGTACGGCAGCTAGGTTTATTAGAATTCAAAAGTTTTTTAATTGTCCTCCAATGTTTAGAAATTATTTTTCGATCAAGTTGTTTAATGAATAAATAATTGTTTTGCCAAATTATGTTTCGAAAACAGGAACTAAAAATAGATCAGGAAATAGATATTTTAGTTCAGAAAACAAAGCCAATCAAATAGGCCTACGTACTTTTTAAATAAAAACACTGGTCATATGGTTTTTAACTTTGCTGTTTATTTACTTCAATAAATTTCAAATAAAAATCACCACAGGTACTAATCTATATAAATAAAATTAGAGTTTTGTCTGTACATTGCTCAGAATCATCAACTTTTAGATTATTTTTACGTTTTAAACATTCAAGAATCCGAAAAAAGTTTCATCTCAATTCCGTTATTATCTCAATCATCAATTATTATCTCAATTCCGTTGTTGTCTATCTTCCGTCTGTCACGATCCAAAGGCCATTTTACGCGGCCTTCTCCTGAAAACGAGAGTACCTATCAAGATCCTCGAATCATTTTAATGTATTCACTGGATTGGCGAAAGTGTCTTTAGCTATTAAAATATGGCCTCGCTACTTTGTAAAAAAAACTTACGGACGTTTAAAACCCAATTTTGTGCGATTTTTGTCAAGTTTTCTCACAATGTTTATCACATAATCATCATATGAAATAGCGAACAGCTGTTCGGATCAAGATTATTTTTCTCTAGCTGTCACTGATATGTTTACATTAAATATTGTTTACAAATACCGCAATCATTTCAGATCAAGTTTCAAAAGCAAATCCAAACCAAGTTGGATTAAAACCGTTTTTCCTTACATAACGGATTTAATTAATCGCAAGTGCAATAATGTGTAGGGTAACCGTAAATGAAAATAGAGCTTCTTTGTGTATAGAATT